TTTGGATTGATGTGGTGAGGGTTTGTTTATTCAGATGGCCAAGTAATTAGTGTCAAGCAAATTTAATGGTTTGTAATACTTTGTTGGTTAGTGAAATGCCAGCTTGAACTATCAGGAATACAATGTTGTATGCTGTAGCTTTTTATAGATTGTGTTACTATTTAATTGGTAAGAATCATCTGTAGTAAGGCTGTTGGTTACTTATTGTCTTGTGTTTTTAAAGACTAAGAATTTCTGTTGTAAAATCCTACAAAATAAGGAATTTCAAACTGTGACAAGAAAAGGTGTTGGTGGCTCAGAGTGGAGTTGGTCTTTTCTATGATGATTTTGCTTTTGTAGAAAACCAACACAAAACATCCTGCTCAGGGGGAAAAGTAACAAAAGGGAATATACACATGAGAATCTTCTTGTGAACTCATGTGTCACTGGCAGAGGGAGATGCAAGTTAATCTAAATTTTCAGTGTAAATTAAATTTTCTTAAGAAATTGGAATTAGGATTTTTTTTTTTAATTCAGCCTCTTTGTTCTTTTACCTCAGATATATTTTTAATTGTCAGGTTTTGTATAAGCACTGATTTAAGAATGGGAAATCAAGTAACCCACTACTAGTGAAGGGCTGGTGCAGATAGTAATTAGAGATAAAGGAAAAGTAATTTCAGTGACTTCTGAAATACTAATTCCTAAGGTGTGACAGCTAATGCTAATGCACTCATAGAAAGACCTGAGTCATGTGTTAATAATTAATCCTGAACTATGAGAAGTCTAGAAATCTTTCACCTAAGACTCTAGAAGGAAGAAGCTGAATATGGGTTTGCTGATTAAACAAACTAAGCCTGTGGAAGGGGAGACTAACCTAGAATGTCCCAATGGACATGTCTCATTTACAATGCATTAGATTGTAGAGGATGGAAGCTGTTCAGCTTGCTACACATCTTCCATCCCTGGGTAGAACTGGGAAGCTGGAGGGTGGAACCAGGGACAAGCAGCTCATTGTGTTCCAGAGTCCAGTTTTTGTTACACACAAACTACTTTTATTGTAGTATTTCTTAATGCTGCCAGCAGTTTTGCTTTGGATCATGAGTATCCTTACCACTAATTTACCATAGGACACATTAATCCCTGAACCTGTCTGACAGCTGCAGTGAGGCAGCAGTGATTTTTATGCTAAAATATTGAATACATTCAACTTGCTCCTATTTAGCAATTAGAATGTAACATCTTTTGGTATATTTTCTTTTTTTTTCCCAGATTTAGCAGTCTGAACTTGTCAAACCACAGACCAGATTTTTAATTTTTATTTAAATTCTCTTTTAGAAGGCAAGTGATGGCTTTTAAGTGATAGCTGTTCTATGCTGACTTGATAGTTTGTACAGAAAGAAATGCTGACTCAAAGCTGCATGCTGGAGTTGTTAAAGGATTGCTTTCTGATAAATGATAGAATGATTGTTTTGAACTTAATTAAAAATAAATTTTAGAGTTGATTGACAAAATCTTTCACATCTCTTAAATTGTCCATCTGCTTGGATCTTCCTTGCCTTATTGTAAAGGGAAAACAGATGATTTTCACAAGTACAGTAAAGTACACTTAAGCTTACCACCCTGAGGTAAGTGTACTTCACTACATCTTAGCCTTTTAAACATACCTTTTAATCTCTTCTGCTCTGGAGAGTACTTTGATCAACCTAGCAGAGTGAAAATATTTATTTCAATGCAGATTTATTAAAGCTTATCTCTATCTCAACCTTGGGTCCTCAAGGTTGAAGTGAACTTCTGTGGATTAACCAGTGTTAGGAGATACTCTGCATTTTACTGCCTGAGAACAGTTGTAGAATCTTCTGGTCCTGTGCTTCTGCTTCTTCAGCCATCCTGGCTCTCAGTATTATCCCCATCTAGGACTTCTTATCTCTGCATTTCTTCAATGCCACACACAATTTTGTACTTCCTCTTTCTCCTGCATCCATGCGCCTGCAGTCTTTTGCAGATATTGATCCCTGTGTGGAGGATGGTTTGTAACTTTTTTTTTTTGGCAGTGGAAGGGAAAGGCAGTGTTCAGAACTAATCTCATAATCCAGCCTATCAGGCAATGTATATTTTGTAGTTAATTTTTCCCATCTAAAATAGTTAATTTTGTCTGTTTGGGGCTAATTCTTTTGTTATTTCATCTGTAAGGTGACGGAAGAAGAGGGGATATTGAAGTAGTTTCCTAGTGTTTCTTCTAAACTGAAAGCTGAGTTATTCTGCCTTGGGCAAGGAGAACCCCCTTACTGTGGTGTACCATACACACTGCATGTGAGTGTGTCTGCTGGAGCTCTGCAGTGCCAGCTGGGCTGGGGACTCTGAGCCCTCAAAACTCAGGAGTTCTGCAGGAGAACACAGGCTGGGAGCTCTGCACAGCCCTGCTGCTGATTTAACTCAGGATTCTTTGGTTTGTGGAACAGAACTGTTCCCTCCTACAAGGCAAAGGATTGGATTTCCAATATGACAGTGAAAAGTAGTAGGATTATGGGATCAGTGTGGGAACACTTGTGTTGGAGTTTGAGCCTGTCTGCTGTGAACTGTGTATTTAAGACTGCTGATACTCTGAGCTGAGTAATGACACTTTTTATACAACTCTTTGAAAATCAGATACAAGTGTGTCCTTTAAAATTTCCCTTAAGAAGTTGAGATTTGTTTATCATGGCAAGTATCTACATAAGTAGAGAGAAAATGTTGATATTAAGCTGTTAAAGCTGAAGCATTTGAAAATCTCTTCCATGATCCTAAACTTTTAGCATAAAAATTCTGGTTATGATTTTTCTTCTGTCATGAAAATTGGAAGTCAGGCTTATTTTCTGAAAGATCCCTTTAACGGAGAGATTTTCATGCTTAAAAGTGTTAAATATTTGGTTTCCCCCTCATGAGGTTCTGAAACTGTCTCTTTCAGTAGAGTTGAAATAAAAACAGTCAGCTGTGAATCGTGTTCTCTTCTTTGCTTGTCTCCATGGTAGTGAAGTGATTTAAGTTGGTATGTCCCTCTCATTCCTTGTAAGACTGCCATCCTTTTTAAATGTGAGCTGTTTTAGTTCTCAGTGCTGGGATTCAGACAGTACTCAGACTCAAAATGTAGCTTCTGCTCTACCATGTAGTAGTTGGGATGTTCTGCAGTGTGTTAGAAAAAGAAGGGTCTAATATTATTAAGATGTTGTAGTTTATTTATTTTGTGCATACAGACAAAAAGATCAACCTATAAGGTTGGGGTGTTTTTTTGTTTTGGTTTTTTTTTTGTTGTTGTTGTTGTTTGTTTTTAAAGGTGTAGGAGATAAAAAGAAATGGATTTCTCCCTTGGAAGAGCAGAACTTGTTTCATGGAAGTATTAACCATGCTTCAACAGTAACATATATCTCCTGTCAGATTTCTGAATTTAAGGAAATGATAAAATAATCAAATTTAAAACTAGATCAACTGGTGAATCTCTGGATATCATATCTCCATTTGTTGACATATAACATGAAGTGTTTAAAAAGTTTGACTCTGCATGCAGGTCACATGTGAGAAAATACTTGTCACAATAGAGCTGTACAAGATATTTATGGTCTCCAAAAAAGAGAAAATATAGTCCACAATTCAAGAAACTTTAGTTAATAAACAAAGTTTATTCCAAAATATGCAACAATGGAATAATGAGACATAATAAGTGTTAGACACTTTTCCCAGAAGCTCCATGCAAGGTGATATACAGAGCTCTCATAAGATTTTTCTGGCATGTACTTTTTTCTTCTTTGTTTCCCTTAGCACAGGAAAACATCCATTAGTGATTCTAATCATGCACCTATTATGTTCTCTTCATCCTTAACCTGCCCTAATAAGTTGAAATAGCTTGCTTTTTAAATGCAAGACTTCAGAGAAACTGATTGGATTTTAACAGCATTCACTAAGAAAATGTCTTGAGTTACATTAAATATGTAATGTAATGGTAATTCCATTAAATTTAATTGCTGCTTCTCTTACTGTGCCTTTGTTAGAGTGTTGTATGACTGGGAAAAACAATTTGAGTGTGTGTTGTGTTTTAAGCTGTGTTGAGACTTGAACATACAGATGTCTGTATATTAAGAACTTGACCTGGAAATAAAATATTTGAAATTTGTACATTTATTTGTATAGTAATGACAGGGAGCCCCTTGTGTATGAAAGGGCTCTGTAGGATGATCCAGATTTCAACACTTCTTCTATTGCTGCAAGTACATGGTCTGGTATTAATTAATTTCAGTATCCATTGGAGGCCTCTTCCTAACCCTGCAATGCTTGAAAGAAACACATTTGGTGAATTGTCCAATCTGACATCACAAAGCAGACATACTCTCCAAATGTTCTCACTCAATTCAGTGGTAATTTGTTTTGTTGGTTGTCAGTGAAATAAGATATTATGACTTTATTTTAGGAACAGCAGTAAAAACTGTGATCCATATTTTGCTGAAATACTGAACAGTAAACCAGAGTTTCTTCTTTGCAGCAGTGGACAACATTAAAAAAAATATTACTGAACATTTATGTAAGTCCTGCTCATATCTAGAGCAAGACTTGCTAATATGAAGTTTTTAAAGTATGAGGTTTTGGCACTGGTGAAGGGAAGGACAGTGATGATGTTGTAAATGCTGATATTTAGCACAGCAAGGACCTCGCCATGATTAAGGGAGCTGCTGTAGAAGATTGGTGACACAGTAATCTGGTTCTTGAGAGATCTTTTATAATGCAAATAATAACTGCCTAAAATTTTACTGGTTTTTTAGGCACTGGCAGAAGCTGAACCCTCAGTGCTGCTCATACTGCTTTAATCTTTTTATATGTAGGTAGTGGGAGACCTTTTGATTTGTTAAAGACTTTAAGTCTTTTCCAGCTCTGCTGTAAACACATCTTCTGGCAAGAAATTATTTGTGACATGCAGAACTGAGTAGGAAAGATTTAGAAAATGGATTCTAAAAGAGGTCATTGTCATTAATTTAAATTTGTTTCTAACATTTCAGATATTTCTTCTTGCCTGTCCTCCATGTCGGACTGCAATGATTCTCTTCAGGTATTACCTCTTCCTTACTGTATTTCTGTCTACTTGTACAATGTATTTTAGAAGTTAATCACTGCTTAATTTATAAAATACTAAGGGAAATATCAAGTTGGAAAGACATATTGGTTGGATTGAAAAATGACACTTTGAAAAGGGTCAGGGCTTAAATCAGGGTGTTGGGCCCCTTATCCTTGCTTCTTGTATGTTGGTGGGTTTGACCTCACTGATGAACAGGAATTAGCTCAGTAACAGTGGATTAATGCAGGTTAATGTAGGAGCTACTATAATTTGTGTCATGGGCCTTGAACCTTTTTTCCATCCTCAGTAGAAATCAGTAACTGGGCCTTGCTGGAAGCCATTTAGACACTCTGGGTCTGATTTCAAAATTGTGATAGGTAAAGTTAAATAGGCAAAGCAAATTCTCTCTGGCTTTGTTGGGTATTTCTCAGACCTGTGCAGTCTTTTCTAAAACACTGCATGTTGTTGCTAAGTTCTGCAGCAGCAGAGCCCAGGGTGCAGCTGAGGCTGCAGCCAATGTGCTGAGGGGAGGGTCAGGGACTCTGTGGGCAGTGGTATTTGGCTGTAGCTGCCACTGTGGCATTAAACTCTGCTCTTCCTTGTCTGAGTCTGGGCAAAAATGATGCTGGGGGAATGCCTCACACAGTGTTTCTGCAGCTTTTCCCTGCTATTCCTTATTTCTGCAGGGATTATGCTGAACTAATACTCTGTATTAGCATCTCTCTTGGAGAGTGTGAGAATATGTCTGCTGTCCAGGAAATCTTTGCTAAAGACCAGTTATAGAGCAGAGGCCACAATATTTGTTGTTTTTCAGAATGAGTATATCTATTTTCTCACACCCTGACAGCATATAAATTATATTTGAAAATCTGTTTTAAAATTGTAGTACCTTTTCCTCCCTCAAGTTACTTTTAAATTCCTAGGAGTTTGACAGACAGTGGTGGGAGACAGTTTATTCTTTACTTTGTGTCTAATGTAAAATAGACTGAAACAGTTCTGATACCAATTATCCATTCCTGTGATACAACAGTAGTTCAACAAAATATGGCTAAAAGCTATACAAGTGACAGTGTATAATACTACTTTCCTGCCTTGTGCTTTGCTTAGGACTTGCTGTTGCATTTTGATAAATGTAATTATTTTATTTAAGGGAATTCTTTCAAATTATTAAGGCTTTACTTTGAAGCTGCTCATGCACAGCATTAAAGAGGAGTAAAACCCTTTATCAAAGATGCTGTATTAAGCTCTGGAAGACAAATGAACAGCAGAATTCCAACTATTTAGCAGCTTGCATCATGAACAGGATTATGGGCAGCCCAGGCTTTCTAGGAACCCAAAGCTCATTACAGAAAGCAGCCCTACTTTAGGAAATTCTTTAAGTGTGTATTTAAAGATAGGATTTGGTCCAGTTTTATTGCATTTAGTAGTGACTTAATTAAAATTCAAGCCTAAACCATTTTTTAAGTGTCTTGATATCTTTTATTGAAGAGATACTACATAAAAGAAGTGAAAATATTATTATTGCGTTTTATTTCCATGGGTGAAAAGAATATCTCATCTCTTTTCTAAGGTTGCAGATGCATATGCTGAACGGGGCCCTGTTAGCATTGCTGTTTCCTGTTGTTAATACACGACTGGTGAGTGTAATGTGCTTTTCCTCCTCCTTTTTTATTTATTTCTAAAATATTATCTTTGGAGTGATGTCAGATGTTTGCTTTGCTTGGCCTTTTAAAGTTCATTTACCAGGCTGCAGACTCCTGGTCAGTACAGTGGAGCCAAAATAGCAATCTTGGATTTTTGGATGTTTATAAGTTGGTATGAGAAGACAGCACTGCTGTATTGAGTGTTAGCTCCATTCTAGCCATTAATGGAGGGAAAACTTGATGGCTTTGAAGGAGGCTTTCACAGGTTAACCTTGTGGCCTGTGGTCAAAATTCAGTTTCAGGCTTTTCAAACTCTGTAAATATAAGATTCCTCAGGCCTGGAAGATGCCAAATGTTATTGTTGGCTGTAATTCCCTCTCCCACAAGATTAGGCACAGCAGATATTATTTTTTTCCTATAAAAGTTTTCAAATCTGCTGTAAAACTTCAGTCTCTTGGACAAAAAAAAAAATAGCCTGGATCTCCACTTGCAAGTCTTGATTGTCTAAATAAGATGAAGTATAAACTTAATGCTTATGTGCAGTTTGCAATTACATTTTTATTAAAACTTGGTACTGTTGAAGAGGCAACAAATTAATAAAACTAGTGTTCTTTTCCTGATAAGGAAAACTCTTTTTATTTTGTATTTAAAACCATCTAGTTCTTAAGTATATATAACCTTAGGCATGACAAAATTGGTCTGGGTAACCTTTGAAGGAAAAAATGTTGAACTATTTAATAAATCATTAGCTTGTATTTTCTCTGCCATTATCACAGATCTCATTCATATTAGGGCAGTGGTGATTAAACAGGAAAGATAAAGACTACTTATAAAATTGTTCCTATAATTTGGAACAGAATAGCTAAAAGATACTGTCCAAGAGTAAATATTTTCGGAACAATTACAATTCAGGATATTTTTGGCCTAACAGCTGCTTGCCAGGCTTTTCACTTTTCCATGTTTCTTCTGGCACAGGATAATGTGGGTGATGTTGTACAGCACTGCCTTGATCCAGACTCTCATGGCAGACACACATTCTGCTCCACAACTCTCACTTTGTTTTTAACACCAATATTGTCCTGAAACAGGAAATGTCTCCTAAAACCTAGTAGGAATTAAAAAAAAAAAACAACTTATTTTTTTTAAGCTGGCTGCTCTGTTTTTTTTAATACCTAAGTGAAAACCTTTTGATTCAATCATTCAGAATGAGAGACCATCATTGCTTCAGTAGATGATGGATGTTTTAGTGGGTTTCAGGACTTGGACTGTAAGTGTTAATTTGTTCAAAGTAATTTCCAGAACACCTCTTACATTTTGTGGCACAGTCTGTTAGTGTCGTGTGTTTTTGCTACCAATTACATTATTTAATGAGATACAGATGTGTTTTTGTAAATATGCTTTGCTGTTAAGTTATCCTAAATTGGAAGCTTCTGGCATAGTTTCATGGTTTCAATTTTCTTGTAATGTATCTCAATTTTTTGTAGTTTTTTTCTTTTAGAACCTCAGTAATTTCAAAATTCTTTTAAAATAGTAGTGTATTGCCAGTGAAAAAGGAGAGCTGACATATTCACTGAAACTAGAGTAGAAAGTTTCTACCTTCTATTATTTTAATCTTTCAGTCAGACTATGCTAAACAATGCAGTTTAAAAATCTTGTTGGACTATTACAGGCACCTGGGATGGTGTTCAAAAAATGTAGCCTGAAAGGTGAGGTCAGTCTATTCTGTTCTTTCCAAGAAAATATTTTCCTGCCTTGGCATGAGATTGAGGTGCCAACAGTTAACAGACTTAAGCAACAGATGCACCCACTCGTATTTGTTTGGCACATAAATATTGCAGTTATTTGCTACATTATTTGCCATGTGCTGATGGAATTAAATTCTGTGCTTTGGGATAGGCATTGGATAATGATAAAACTGTTTCTGGTGCAGTCAGTGCTTTTCTGCGTTCTTCTTCCCCTTTCTGAAATAAAGGAGAAGAAGATGCTGAAGGAATTGGTGCATTAGGCTTCCAAAAGAGAGCGAGAAAAGTATAAGAGGATATATAGCAGTAGAAAAATTTCTTTTTACTCTGTATTTATATTCTGTGGCACACAGTGTAGGTCCTGATAACCTGGCTGTGCATGTAAATTCATTTAACTGCCACAAAGACTCCAACTGTTTGGAAAGTAACTGGGTTTGCTGGAGCTTTCACATTGCATTAATCAAATTTTAAATAAAAGTCTTTCCACTAGTTTAAAAGTGGGGATGTTTTGCCAGCTGATGTCCTGAAAATGTTGATATGGATAAAGTAAAAAACGGGACATGTCCCAGAAGTGTTGGATACATGGGTGTCAGCTCACATGGCTGAGATGTGCAGTTTCAATGTTTCCAGAAGCTGCTATATTCTATTCTTAGAACTATTTGGCCTGAGAAATCCACATTCTAAATCTGTGTTAGGAGCAGAATCATACTCTGTGTATGCATTGAGTGCATTCTGTGTATGCTCCAGTCATTGGCTGCTGTATTGTTGTTGTTTGCCTGCAATGGCTGTGCCTGCACAGCAGAATTGAATAGGTTTGGTAGCACACTGTTGTCTCTAAACTGCCTTAATCTAACTGGCACAAGAGAAAACAGCAGGAACAGTGGGGAGCTGTTGAGAGATTGTGCTTGGGTGGCTGGTAGGTGATAAAGCCAAAGTTTGTGCATATGTGAGCACTTGTACAAGCTGTGTGCATTAAAATGGTATGAGCGTGTTGTTTACTGATAATGTCTAAGAAAGTGGCTGGTACAGTACAGTGTGGTGTTTATTTGGCTGTGTTCTAGATGTCCTACAGGAAAGACCAGAATCTGAGAGTTGAGTCCCTTCTATTCCTTTTCTGCCACATTCTGCAGTCTTTGTAGAGAATGATGGAGGAGGTGCTCTTGAATGTTGCAGTGCTTGAGCCAGGGTATAAATAATTAACAGAGAGTGCAGTGCTACTGTCAGAAACCAGAACAAAGTGTCAACCTGTGAGCCCACTGAAAGCCAGCTGCTGTGTCTAAATGTTTAATCTAAGTTAGTATTATGTCCATGCTCTTTTGGGGTGAACTCAGAATATCTGACTTCTGGGCTCCACTCTACTGCTGCCTTGAATAAATTTTCCTAAGCTCAGTTCAGTGCATGGAAAGATCTCATTGTTCTCTTTGGGCAGTAGCTGGTTTAAGTTAGAAAGTGAAGTCTTACTTATTTTCACAAAGAGATTCTTTAAATCCTTGTGCCTTGTCTTCATTTCCAGTTTCTCCTCACATGTGAAAGGTGCTTGTGTTGAGTGAGTCTTTTATTGATAAAACTGTTTATAGACAAGGCACAAGATGCAGGTGAGTTAGTTGCTCAGTGCAGCTTGCTTTTTGTGTTTGCTGTAGCCTGGCTGTATAACTTGAGTACTTGGCTGTACAGCAACTCTGCAGCTCTATAGCAGGAAATGCACTTGCAGAATCACCAGGCTTCAGAACAAGCAGTCTTTTACAGTGGGGAAAAAGATGTTTTGTTTTACACACAGAAAAATACTGTCAACACTACTGCAGCATAACAACTGTTACTCTGTTCTCAGGAGTGTCCCAGCACAGTGTTTGTGTAACAGATCCTCACAACTCCACGGCTGTGGAAGCCCTTTTGACACCACAGATAAATGGAGAATGCTCCTTGGCAGGAGTGAGTGCCTCATGTTGTGGTGTTTATATCAGGAGCAATTGTTTCTGAAATGGGAGAGGTACAGCTTTTTCTCCAGTTATGATCACTGCTTTAGCCCCATCCCAAATAATTTTAATTCCCTCACTTTGCTCTCTGTCTTGTTCAATGACAGTAGGAAATGTTCAGATTTAGGAAACCACACAATTTTCATGAAGTTTTTGCTTTTGCTTAGTTACCTTGTTGGTGTTTGTTTTGATACAGAATACTTGGAATGAAATAACCCAACAGATTGTATGGGAGGGTTGGTTTAGCTTAGTCCCTACAGGAGCTGGCTCACCACCTTGGAGGTTACCATCAGGACACACACAGTGTCCAGTGGGGGAATGCCAGGAATTTTTGGTTTTAGAATCTTCAAGATTCATCAAATCTTCTACATTCAAAATAGGATATAAGAATTGTTAGTTGAATTTAAAAGATCACTATGTTATTTACCAACTGTTTGACTACTGGTTAGGAAGAAAATCAAACTCTCTTTCAACCTCTCTTCTGTTGATGTAGAAATTTCTGTAATGTTTCAGTTTCAAGGCTGTGACTTCAGTGTCTCAGAAGAGTCATAGAAAAGGAAGGCTTTTCTCCCCACTCCCTGCTTCCCAACACACAAGCCACAGTGGTAGGTCCTGTATCTGAATTCCTCTGGCTGGAAAATGACAGAATGAGTCTGCATTTGAATAAAGGTTTTTCATTATTCCCATGAGATTTCATACTTGTGGTATTGTCCAATTTTCAATTCAGAAAAATACTGCAAGAGTGTGGCTTTTCAGCTCTGTAAGTCAGATGCAGTAAAAAGCTGAAATCTGAATTTTTGAGTGTTTTCTACTACTGTTCAGTTTAAAATGTGCTGCTTTAGTGTAATAGATATAGGCTAAGGTACTTATAGATGGGACTGACTTTCATCCCCTTTTCTAACTGATAAAGAGCTAGAAATAGTTGGGTCTGGATTAGGAGTCTCAAACACAGTTATGGCTGAAGTTATTTTTAGTATTATTTTAGGTATCTGACTTCTTAGAAGAGAATTTACACTAATTCAAATAAACACACAAGTATCTAATTGTAATTTCCCAAAAGTTGGCAGCAGGTGAGAAAAACTGGTAATTTGTTTACACGTAATTCTGCAGCTTGTCTTTAAAACCAAGAAGTGACCAGTCATTTTCTATTTTAATTTATATTTGCTCAAGCTTAGCAATTCTGTACATGCATGCAGGTTGCTATAAATCAGATATTTAGATTTTTTGCACAGGCCTCCTCAGTAATTACTTCTGTGTGTGTATATATATATATATATATATATATATATGTGCATAAATATATATATAAAAGACCTCATTTATGGAGTTCCCTTACAAGGTGCCAAGCATATTTTCTTTCTAAAAAGACTTCTGCTCTCTGGGGGTGTGCATAATTTCTGATCTAATTATTTGAGTGGTTTGCATTGTTATTGGTGATTCATGCTAGCAAAGAAATGGAAAGAGCAACCTTATGTTACTTCTTGGTTGTACTTTTGACTAATTTTGGGAATTACCTACTGGAAGTGCAGTGTTTGTGTTAAGGGGGATGGTATGGGTACTGTTAGCTGCACTTTCAAGGCACTGACTATTAATGTTTGTTATTATGCATAGGTGATAAAATAATTGAAGGCATTGTCATGGTTTAGAAAGAGAATTATTCCTTGCAACTTGGTTGTTAGTGATGAAAAATACTTACAAATATTTTCCTTATTCCACAGCTTCCATTTGAAATGGAGATTTATTACATCCAGCATGTGATGCTTTATGTTGTGCCCATCTATCTGCTGCACAAAGGAGGTAGGTAGGCAGTTTACTCCCTATGGATTGAAGTGGTCCTATGGAATGAAAACACTTTTAAAACAAATTTTTTCTGTTTTTAATTAATAGTTCCTGATGTTCTAGTGTTCTAATGTTGGAGTTTTAGCCTAGGTAATGAGTTGTGTCAGGCACTAAACAAAAAATTTTAAAAATGGTCTTTTGCTTGAAGGGATATTTAGAATGTATTTGCACATTGTGCATTGTTTTCTTGAGCAGCATCTCTGCCATCTTGCAATATTCTCAGTTGTTGGTGGGATGTATTTTTAAGATTTTTTACCTTCTTGAATGTCTCTTGAGAAGTACCGGGACACAAAATGAGCCAAAAAAAAAAAAAAAAAAGTTCTTTAGTTAGATAAATCCCAGAAATTCTGAAGCTCCAGTGGAATGTAGTGACACATATCACTGGAATTAACTAGATTGCTTGTTATCCCTTCTAACAGTATTGCTGTATTGCATTCACTTATGCCACAATAGTTCAGTAAGGCTGGGAATCCTAAATTGTTTCCCTGGCCAGTGATTTTTCTAGTTGTGGATTCTCAAAGGGAATGCACTATACATTCAGCTGGTGTGGTGCTCTGCCCCCCTCTAGTGCTGACATGTTTCTAGCTGCATTTTGTAGCAGAGCTGGATTGTTCCATCCAGAAAATAAAGTATGATCATTTGTGATCCACATGTTCAGAAGCCTTCATAACAGTGGTATGAAGTGGTACCTTTTGCTTTATGCCAGTGGGCACTTAGAATCCTTCACCCTATTTCACTGTAACCTTTGTGTTGCAGTGACCTGATTGCACTGTGACCTGCTGAGTGGAATCAAGAAAAATGATTCAGAGGAAAAGTGAAGTCTCATATTTCAAAAGATGATTCTTTTTCTCTTTCATCAGGGAAATATGCCAGCCATGTTTTAATTTTTATCCACCCTTGATATCCTAAAATTCTGTCAAATAATGCCAAAGTGCAGGGTAGTTGTAGGAGTTACACAAACTCATAATCTTTGCAGGAGGAGGGTGAAGAGCAGGGAACAGAAAATGTAAGCAGCTGTGGAGTGAACTGTAGGTAGTGACAAACAAAGCTCTTGTTATGTCAATAAATCATTTGGTGGCCTTGGAGTTCCCATCTGAGGTCACTTTAAGACAGTCCTTAGCTTTAAAAAGGCTTGGCCTTGGATGATGATTGATGTGTTCTTTTAAGTTTTGATACTTTGGTGGCTTGGTTTGGCTTTTTGCTTGTTTTGAAGTAGAGGTTCTTCAGGGTTTGGGACTGACAAGAGCTGGATTTGCAGTTTGAAGGCTTTGCTGTTGCACTTGTCACCCTGGCTCAGTATTCTGAACCCCTGCCCTGTATTTATGAGCAGGTATTTGCTGCCATCTAACGTTCACGTGATGGCAGTAAAATTGCTTAAAGAACTTCGTTGGCTAAACGCGTGGATTGAGATTGCTCTGGGCTGTTTAACTAATGACTGCTCCATTTCTTATGCACTTGGCTCCTCGTCACCTGACTGGCTGTAACAAAACCCCCATGAACTCCTGCCACAAGTGACCTAATAGATCCTTTTTGGTGGAAAAATGATGCAGCCTTAAAATATTTGTTAATTTTGTCATTTCACTAGTGCCTCTGTTTAAGTATTTTATGAGTAGGTCACACAGGCCTTTGTCCTGAGTTCTGTATCTTGTGAAAATTTCTTTTTCATTGCTGACATTGATCAACATGCAGCTTGAATTCAGTATTGTAAACAGCAAGTTCCATCAGTGAATCTGTGGATTATGATTGAGAGAAGTAATTGAAGGCTAGAAAGTTGAAAAAAATGGAAAGGAATGGATTATATTTGGAAAAATATACTACTTCAGTTTTATTGGGAATCTGCCCATATTACTGGTGACCTTGAGAGGATCCAAATGTTTCTCAAAGATAGAGTGAGCAGAACACCTGAAGCAGAGTGGATTTGAGGCTCAGGCTATGGAGAACTGCACCCTCCAGTTTGCTTACAAGGCCCTAATCAGGTATTGCACCAGCTATGCACACATACCCAACTGCCTGCTGAAGTTTTTCCTCTTTGAAAGGAAACTGGTGACAATAAGCAAGGTCTGTAATAATTTATTTTCTGTCTTTTCCTGCTGCTTTTTACAGTGGTGCAGGCTGGTCATGCTGCACTGGCAACCTTTATATCCTTCCTGACCCTGTAAGAGTGGGGGATTTGCCACACTTGGCAGCACGTGGGTGAGAGAGGTGTTTGGAGCTCAGGCTTTGGTGTTGCACAGTGAACTCACTGGAGCTGTACGACATGGATCCCTTCTGGGGATTAAAAACTCCTCTTCCTCTTCCCTCTCACACCTCTCTGTACTGAGTGAATATAAATTTCCATACTTCCCTTTCTTAACATATTTTCTTTCTAAGTGCATATATGCATGTATACATAGCATGCATGCCAGGCTAGACAAATGAAATGCTTTTAGGCCGTGGCTCATCTTTCTTTGAGGCACCAAGGGACTCTCATGCAAAACAGATGTAGTGTGGATGTGACAAGCCAGCACACAAGAGTCCTTCCTCAAGTCAGTTCTCACATAACATATATCTGCAGTTGGCACTTTTATTTTACTGGATGAATCTCACCTTGTGTCACCTGCCTCCCAGAACTGCAGTATGCATCTGAGCAGTACACAGCATCCCAGAAACTGCTGGAGCAGTTGAACCAAACCTCACAGGTCACTGTTTGTTTTCTCTTGTCCTTAAGAAGTCAGACTCTCAGAGACCTTCAGTGGGATCAGAACAACTAAATTCTTAAACTGTGTATTCTTAAGATAATAATAATAAAAAATCTAGTTTGCACTACATCAGGTTTAGAGACTGATGATGATGACTATTTCTGACTGTCTTAAGCTTGTTTGGTCAGGTTTTCCAGTGGATTTGACAAGATCAGGTGTACACCTTATTTCAGAACATCAAATCAGACTGGTAGTTAATCAAGGTGGAATTGTTATTTCCTTAGTGCAGTGATCAAACGATATTCTAAATTACATTATTCCACAGCAGTCTGAAATAAGAGTGAATTTGCAGCAGCTCCCTAGAGCTCAGGAGATAATCTGCCCTGTGTTTTGATATCCCCAGTGTTATTTATTTTTGTTAGTAACTCCGGTAGGTAGAAGAGGCGGTGGAGTTGAGGTGTTTGGGGTTCTGCGGCTGCAGGGAGCGATGCTGGGCGTCTGTCGGGCGGGGGCTCTGTCGGGGCGGCTCCGTGGCGCTGGTGCCAGCGGGCTGTGCTGCGGCCGGGCCGGGCCGGGCCGGGCCGTGCCCTCCGCGAGGCGGCCGGGCCGGGGATGGCCTCGCCAGGGCCGGGCCGCACTGTGCGCCGCCCCGTGTGCCTTAGGAGCCGATTTGCCGCTGAATAAATGAGTTGTTTGCTGGGAAGAGAAGCAGAATTTGGTTCTTAGGCAAGTGCTGTATAAGTCCCAAAGCCCTTTTTGTGCAGAGGTGGCACGAGAAGAGCAGCTCTGTGGCACTGTCGCAGTCGTTGAAGCTGTTGGTTTTATTTTCCTTGCTCCCGCAGCATGCCTGTGCTGTGCTCAGCAGCCGGGCAGGAGCCGCCAGCACCGGCGGCGCTCCTGACCCCAGCGCAGCCTGGACTTGCTGGAAGATGCTGCACACAGATACCAAGCACAGATGAAAGGATCGCTTTTCCTTTGGTTGTAAATTAGGAAAGTGCAATTAAAACACTAAACTTGTGTTTTCCATTGGCTGTTAGGACCATATTTCAAGACTTTTTTTTAGCTGTTCCACCCTATGTCAGCCACTTTCCCACTTGGTGACACTTCCTTGCCTTTAGTGCCTTTAGCTAATTCTTTCCTTAGCTTTTTAAAGGGGTTATCAAGCAGGCTTTATTATATACCTTTAGTAGTAATCCAGGAGAAATATCACTTCATATTTAGATATACTTAGGCAGTCATAAATCTAGTCCATCTCAATCTTAATTTAAATACTGGATAATGTGTGATGCAGCTCTTTTGCAAGAGCTTACTCTTACTTACTTTTCAGTAATTTAACTGAATTACTTAGAGACCTATCGTCTCTTGCATGTTATTTCCCTACTCTGCTTCTAGCAATTCCATTTTCTATTCCAGATTCCTCTACCTGCTGAATGCCCTGTGTTAGACATAAATGTGTGGTTTGCTGTTGAGCTGTGCTTGTGCCGTGGCAGATTGAGCAGCAGGGTAACTCTGTGTGCTGCTACTCTCCTGTAGCTTGAATATTCGAGGATAATCTTGTTTGGTGATTTAAGAGAGATAAAGAGGAAGACGAGATATGTCCCTGTCCTGTGACCCTCTGAGCTTTATGCACTGGGCAGTTACAGTTAGTTTGAAAAATGAAATATCTCTCCAGGAGATGGAGAAATTTAGAAGGGCAGGTGCCAGTATCTGGAAGAACTGCTACTATATGAAGGTAGAGGAAGTGCTGCTGCTTTATGGAACATAAAAAATGATTCCTGAGAGAAGCAGGAATCTTACACATGGAGTCAGAACAGCTGTAGGGAAACATGGAATTCAGAATCATCCTCTTGAAAACATTTTTTCCCCTGTTTTCCCCTGGAAAGGAAGTTTTATCTCTAGGCTAGCTCAATAGGCCACTCAGCTGGAATTAACTGGAATTAACCCTCTGATCAAGGGAAAGAAAAGGAAAATAAATTTGCACACATATTTTTGTAAGTTTGAAAATGAAATAATTGTAATAGTTGCTCTGAGTTTTGGATTAAGCAGGTCTACTTATAATTGTAAGAAGACTGAGAGTGTGCAGCACTGGAAAGCTCATAATGCTCTATCAAGTGTAGTGGGAATGAAAGCAAGACATTAAAGAGATTATTTTAAACCCTACTAAATTAAAAATTTGTACTATATTTAGATTCTAATTCTCTAATTCAAGCAGAGGAGTAATTTTGTCCTGCATTATGTTCTCACAGAAATACAAAAGGAGTATTGCTTTCTATTAAGTTGTGTTCAAATTTTCAGAAGCCTGTGTATTGAGAATTTGAAATAAAAATAATAGTTCATAAGAACATTTGACGTAGAACATTGTGGGGAGGGAACAGTATAAAAATGGAATCTCTTTGTTGATCCTTAGTTTTTTTAAAGCTATTCTTCCATTTCCTAGATGGCAAAATTATCAACTTGGCATATTCAAGGTCAACAAAGTATTGTTTAGAAGCAGTGGAAGAACCCCAAACTCTTCAGTCTATATGGAATCCTTTGTATCAATGCTATTGAAATAATGAAGTGCAATTTAAATGGAGGTATCCCCTGCCATGCCATTTCAACACAGGAGCAAACATGCAGCCTGCCTAGATGGCCCCAGCTTGGAATGGTCTCAGCTGTCTGGGGAGTGAGTGTTTTTGAGAATGAGATCAGTGTCAGACTGGCACTTGGACTAAATTTCCTTAAGTGCTTAATGTATAAGAACTGCCTATGACCCTTCATAAACAGAGTGAAACTCTGCTCCCACCTACAGAAATTGATTTCCTATGCAAGCACCAAGTAGATTTTGCCAAAGCCAACACTGGCCCTTCAAACAGCCACTCAGCTGGCTCTCAATTTTCCTGTTTGTGTTTTTCTTTTAACAGACTGTACTATGGAAAATAGACCACACTGCTCCATTAAACAGCAATCCATTGAATAGCAGGGCTGTAGAGTAATAAAATCTAGAGTGGGTATTTATATAATGAGAAATGTACAGAAAATATCTCAGGTATGAATTTAAAATTAGTTTCCCAAAGCACACGGTGGAAGCTAGAGTGCTCCAAAATGTTTTTGTGTGGAGGTCAGTGTTTCCTTTTTGTCCTTTGATGTCCAAATAGTGCTACTGCTGAAAATCACACCATTATTTTCAGGATTGCAAAGTCTAATAAGGAGGGATATTATTAGTAGGAAGCAAGACCAAAAATCTGTAGAGAGCAAAAGTTGCTGTTATATTTTTTTTTTAAATTTTGCAACAGAGCAAGGATGTAGCAGAGGGAAATTCCTTGCTGAAGGAACCTGAACAGCTCTGCTGAGGAGCCTTTGAAATACCATTCCCTGATTAGACTGAAGCTGGACATGAGAAACCTGGGTTCAAAGCCAAATTTTGCCATGGATCTGTGTTGTCATCTTGTGCAATTTCCTTGGTCTTTTAATGACTGTTGTGTCCCTCCAGCCTCATTTTATAGTTGGGGTCACTTGCCTGTATTAGTATTTATACCCTACCTGCCCTGTAAGTCACGTGGAAATGGAGGTGTCTGTATTTTAGCTTTCCTGGGTGCTCACCCCTTTAGACTCTCACCAGGCTTTGTCGAACACTTTTGAAATAACACAGGCAACTGCCAACAGAAACCTAATTTGGTTTAACACCGCTCAGCCAGTTCCCGGGAGCTGCTTTGATACCTTATTTAAATTTCATGCTGTGTTTTGTATCTAGGTTAAACATGCACCTAAAACTGCAAGGACAATATAAATAAATTTTGCAAGACAAGCAGTGTTTTCTTTACAGCAGAGGAGGGAGTACAAAGAGTTTCTGTAAAGCTTGACCAGGTCACCCAAAGTTGGTGTAACCAAAAATAGAACCATGATCTGCACTCTGACACCAAGGCTCATTCCTCCTCCTTCTCTTCTCTCTGTAATGAAAAACCATATTCAAGGTGGTGTCACCTATCTGATGGTTTCAGGCCATGGAGTTTAATGAATATTGCTGTCCAGTCAAGACTTCTGTACTGTTTTCTAAATAGGATGCCAGCTCTTAGCTCACACTTGCCAAGTGCATCCCAAGAATTACTGTTGGGGATTTTTTCCCTTTACCTGCAGAACTCAAAGTGATTCCTGTAGAGTTCTCTTTTACCTTTGGTTTTACTTGCTGCTCAGACACTTCTGGCCTTCAACCCCCCACTGCATAAGAAACCTTTCAAGCTGCCCTGTGCCCAAATGTATCACAGGTTCCCCAGTCCCAGCCTGCTCCCTGGCCCTGGTGTGCAGAGGTACCTGGGGTGATGGCACTGCTGCTGGCTCCTCCTTAGAACCAGGAGGGGTGTGTGGGGTGCAGCTGTGCTGCTGGCACTCACACACACACAGAGTCTTACCTGTGCAGCAGCAGCACAGCACTTGTGCTCTTGGCAGTGGGCACTGCATGGATGTGCAGTTTGAGACAGCAGCATGTCCATGATTTTGAATCTGTAGCACTCACAAAATGCTATTGAATTGAACTTATTTCAGGTAACTACTGCAAAATCAATTTGAACTGGCATGATGGGTACAAATTACAGAAGGAAACTGCAGAAAATAATTTTGAAAGGGCCACAGAGGTTGAGGAAGCATTGCTCTAGAGACCTTAAACCTGAGCTGGGATGCAGCATTAAACAGTGCTGTGGTCACAGCAGTTACATGCATTTATCTCCACAGGATGCCATAAACAGGCATTTTCATAGCAGCTCTGGTCTGGTGGGTGCTGTGGTAGCTGCTCTGCATGTGGAGTTATTTAAGTTCCCAGTAGCCTTGTACAGTGTATGCTGAAGTCTTTCATTACTTCCTGGTAATTACTGAGTGTGCTGGCTAGCCAAGGCCAGTATCAATATTCCACTCTGTGCTCTAAGCTGTCCTTTGAGTACTGGATACATGTTTCAGTATTTAATAATATCTAATGGATCAGAGAGCAGATAAAGGCAGATAAAAATTGCCAGCGTATTTTTATAATCCTCTGAAACTCTTACAGCTGCCAAACAGCATGACATTGTGCATCTTTCCTTCATGTTCTGAGGCTGTTATTAAAGTAATAGAAAGTAATATTTTTCTACCTATCTTACAGTGCAATTTTCATGTCTGCTACTAAGAGTCTAGAGAACTCTGTAAACTGGTTTTGTTCTTACCAGATGAAATTTGAATATTTAATTCCCAAGATAGTCTTGTATCTATGAGTACTTTTATTAAATCTGATTTCCTTGGTACATTCTAGATCAGGGAACATTGTGTTTTGTCAGTAAAGCCTGGTTTTGAGAGGGTACAAAAAGGTTGGAATAATATATCTGCTACTTAATTTGAAGGGAAAAAAGTATTTTACAGTATCTGTGGTATCTACTGATTATAAAACTGTTTGTAGTGTATAACTGAAAATATCTCCATAGCAGCTTTCATTTAAAAGCACAGCTTGTCATTAATGGATTGACCACCTGATACAGCTTTTCTGATCCTTGGCATTTTTGGTACAAGTTCCTTTTCAATAGTTGTTAAACAACCATTAAATTAGGAAATGACAATTAAACTGTGCTCTCATAAAGGCTGTGCAGGACCTGCTGCTGCCTAAGTCAGTTCTGTGCATGCTGAAATCATAATCGCTGCAAGAAGCAGGTGTTTAGGTATAAATAACCTGATTTTTGGAAGATTCATTGTACACCCTTATTGCATTATTGCTTCTGTGGTAGAAGGAAGAATGAAATAAAAATCATCGATGTTGGTGACAAATTTAGTGAGGTAACATATTGTACATTTCACTGCTGGACAAGGAGGAGGAAGCTGATCAGGTTGCTTCAGGTAAGAAATAAAGCTCTCAAATATTAATTACTGTAATGATATTGGTGAGGTTATCAGCTCAAGGCAGATGTCCTGACATCCAGGAGAGAGAGGATAATTCACTGAGAGTGTGATGGGCACAGCAGTGCAGCTGAACATTAATGTGTTCCTTTTTTTCAAGGTATCTACACCCCTGAACCGCTCTGCAATTTCTGGTGGGCTCTTTTATCCACGGGGTTTATGTTTGTGTATCATTTTAGCATCTTGCAGATCCTGGGATTGGTAAGTAAACCCAGATTAATAAATGGATAGTCTGCAAGTACCTTCGGAATAAAAACACTGAGTAGTTTGAATGTCCAGGTCTACAGGCCTAAGAATACTTGCATGGAAATTTTTGATAAGGCTACTTCTATGCATATTGCATGTTCTAATGAGCATTTGTATCTTATATCTTGCAAATACTGATAAAATAGTCATAGACTGGTTATGTACCTGCATAAATCCATTTATTAAATACACAATGGAATTTGGATCTGCTTTTTTTTCTGAAAGCTGCCCTACTTGTGTTGAGCAAATGTGTGTCACCTAACATTTTTGATTATTATAGTAATTCTCTAAATTCTCACTGCTTTTAGGTGAATCAGTGCAAGATAAAAATATTGTTAATTGATAAATTTATTGCTGCTTCCTCAGGTTACAGAAGTGAATTTGAACAACATGTTGTGCCCAGCCATCTCAGATCCTTTTTATGGGCCCTGGTACCGAATCTGGGCATCTGGACATCAGACTGTCATGACCATGACTCATGGGAAACTCATAATCCTGCTGTTTCACAGTGCTGTCCCCACCTTCAAATGGAGCATGGACTTGCTTAGACTCCCAGCTAAGAAAATAGACTGAAATTTCTCCCCACAGATTAGTTCATACAGGAAGCAGAGATATACTGGAAAACAAAGCTGGGGGACGAGAGGACAACTGTTCTTCCCACAGTTTTTTGCCTCAAAAACACCTCTGTAATGAAGTGAGGGTTTTTTTACCTGCTGATTCTCACTGCCTATTGCCAATGGCAAAATTAGTGGCCTTATTCTGGGGAAGGTTCATGTTTTATACATTTTGTATAGATTACAGTAGAATCTTGCTAAGCCACCATTTAAAATTAGGCCAGGACCTGTCCACATTCCAGCAAAGAGTGGCAGTGCTACCTCATTTTGATTCATTTTCCATTAAAGAATTGTACACTTCTAGGATAGGGAATAATGCTGAATTGTAGCACTCCACTGATGTGAACCAATATGCTGAATTGCAGCACCTGGCTTAACTATTAAGGCTTGAATGTTCAAAATAGTCACAGGAAATCATGCACACTTAATCTTCCAATCAGAAGAGCAAAGCAGTGAGGTTCTACTGTATTTTCTTTAAGCTGGTTGAAAATATTGGGGAACAATAACTCATTAAAAAAAATTAATCAACTACTTGATTTCTAAGCTGCAGTGGATAAGTACCTATCTAGTGAAGTCCCATCACAATGCTTTGGAGATGCTTTTATTTTGGCAAGGGGAAAAAAAAGAATGTTGAAATAATTTCTAAAAACCATGTTATGTATAGGCCATGATAAGATATTGCATCCACTGTTTGGTCCTGACTTTGAACAAAATGGTTTTTTTCACTTACCTTATACTAGAGAACGAGTGGAGATACAAAGCCCAATGTAAACATCAGGGATTTTGGTTTTTTTTATACTTTGTAGGTTTTGAAACATTCCTGCTTCCCTCACTGACCAGACTGGTTGAAGAAACCAAGTGAAATTCTTCTCTCCCTACAGCTCTGCTGTATCATGTGTATGGATTTTAAAATGCAGGTATAAAAAGGAATGTCAAATCAGTGCAAGCCTCTACTGCAAAGGGCATGTCCCAGCTTGGTAGCATGACCCATCAACATGTCTTTTAGAGAACAGAATGGAGATGGGCAGAATGATCAACTGTGTGTGCCTGCTCAAATTTTACAGGAGAAACCATTGGGCAGAAAGATAGAAAATCCTGACTGTGTTCTTCCAGAACTGTGAGTCCATTATGCAGACTGTTGTTTCAGGGCTGCAGGCTTTTCTTGTACAGAAGTTTGGGGGAATTTATAGATTCATTGTGTTGTCAAAGCTGTGACTTGCAAGATAAACCAAAACTATCATACCTCCTCCAGCTGGATCACCTGAAAGTATGAAGTTAAGGTACAAATGCTCAGGAAGCAAAAGCAAATTGACTTTTTTTTTCCCCTTAAAATTTTTTTCTCTGGTGAGGGAACAAGTGGTACTTAAAATATTTTTATTCCATATGATTAAAAAAAAGTACACCTCAATCAGAAATACTGTGTCCCCTATCCTGATTTACAAACTGGTTTCTGACATTCTTCCATGCCTTGCTGTATGTGTGTGTATATATAAAAAAATATACTGTATGCTCACAACTTAAGAACATGCAGCATGTACCTAAACTATCCCTCAGGCATATACAGCTGGTGTTAGTATTACAATAGAAGGACTTTAGACAAATTTTGCAAATACTATTTAGCATTGTTATTTGCTTAATTTATGGTTTCTGTTTTGGTTTTTCTTTTTTTTAATTGTTTTTTTTTAGCAACTTCCCTTATTTTCCCCTGTCAGGATATTGTAGTTACTGGAAGCATTTCTCTAAGTAGGAGCCTTTTTTCCTTTTTTAAAAGATAGCATTTCCTATCTGTAATCATCTGCTTCAGGGCATTCCAAATAAGTATAAAGCAGCTGCTGTTTGCCACCATTGACTGCCTCTGGTCAATTAAAACTGCAGGAGCATTTAAATGAGCTCAGGTGTCTCACTCAGTGCAGGCTCTTTGCTTGGAAAGCAGAATTTGCAAAATCTTCTGGCTGACTTAAAATTCAGTAGCAGGAATGTGAACAGAGCTGCCAGGGCCATCCCTGGGCAGTGGAAAGGGATTCCTGGTGCAGAGCTGCTGGGAGTGGGTGCCCCTGCCCTCCCTCCATGGTGGTCACTGGCCCACCAATGCTTTTCCCTCTTAGGCTGCTCCAGTCATTTCCAGTCCCACAGAAATTCGAGGTGTGATTTCAACACATGGAGTTTGCTGATGGAGCTGCTCATCAGAGCCAGTGGGGCACTTGTACTGCCCTTCTAAACCTTGCGTGGGCACGTTCTGGAGCTTGTTGAATCTTTCATACCAATTTAAGCTGCAAAAATGTCTCGCTGAACAAGGCAAAAAGGTAGAGAGGTAACCAATGACTGCCCTCAGTAAGGATTTTAGAGTACTGGAGCTGCAGTGAAGGAAACAAATGGTGCAGCTGGAGTCAGGTGGGAAGGCAGGAAGTGCAGCCTTCACCTTTTGAACATAAGCTGTTGCTTCTTTGTTGTTGTGCAGTATCAGTGAGGCTGGTTGAGTTAGAACAGAATAATTTAAGTTGAAAACCTGTGAGTTCATCAAACCAAGCATTAACCCAGCACTGCTGAGCCCACTACTAACCCTTATCCCCAGGTGCCACACCTACACATCTTTTTTAGATGTGTAGGTGTGGCACCAGGGCTGTTGAGTCCATCACTTCCCTGGGCAGCCTGTTCAAGGCTTGATAACACTTCTGGTGAAGAAATTTTTCCTAATGTCCAATTTAGACTTTCCCTGGTGCCACTTGAGGCTGTTTGCTCTTACCATGTTGCTTATTTCCTGGAAGAAAAGGCTGACCCCCATCCTCCCTTCAGGCAGCTGCAGAGTGACAAGGTCCAGCCTGAGCCTCCTTTTCCCCAGGCTAAACACCCTCAGCCATTCCTCAGATGTGTGCTCCAGACCCTTGCCCAGCTCTGATGCTTTGCTTTGGATGTGCTCCAGAGCCTCAGTGACTTTCCTGTAATGACAGGCCCAAGACTGAAAATTACTTCCTTCTTCCCCATGTCCTTCTTTGAAGGTTTTTAGAACTTCATATTGATCTGTGGTGACCCACCAATCAAAACTGCACCAGTATAGCTGAGACAGGTTCCACAGAAGTGGAAGGACAGGTCAGAATGGGAGCAAAAAAGGAAAAAAAACTTCTGAGGCAATTGTCATGGAACTTCACATCCTTCATTCCTCACCTGTCTCTGGTATCTGCTGGAAATATGCATTAGGCAGAGCTTGCCATATGTACAGGAAATGGGAAAGCAGAGTACTTCATCTCTATAGCAGTCATGTGTTGTTTTCCCTGGCAGAGGCCGATTTTTCTTTTCCTTGAATGGTTTATTTTATAGGAAGTTACACTATACAGATTTCTTTGGTTGCTTTATGTTTATGCTGGAAATGAAAGCACAAAACTCTCCTGCTGTTCTTGGGAGACAACTGCATTGTCTCCTGGGGTGTTACACACTCAATCCATGTCAAGATAACTTGAAGCTGTTGCCCAGTACCTGGTGATGAGATTTTACAGTGCTGCAGTGCAGTGCACAAATGAAAGGGCTGTCCTGGGCCTCCTGGTCAAACGTGCCCAAATGTGTCATGGCACTGGGAATTTCAGCAGCAGTGGCAGTGGGGCAGAGCAGGAGTGGGGCTGCACAGCCAGACAACTGTTCCCAGCTGAAGCAGAGTGTAAAATCTTGCCCCAGAGTGGCTTCATTGGGGCCACAATACCCCAAAAAATTATTGTGCAGTGCCGCTGCCTAGCCTTCAGAGATGCTGGTATGGGTTAAGGGGTCTGAACAGAGCCCTCCAAGTGTTGGTATTGTAGGCATTTCAAAAGAAACAAGGAGTTAAACAAACCCGTAATTCCAGCTGCCACTGGCTGCATTTCCCTCCAAGTGTACCCACGAATGAAGCACTATTGGCTATAATAAACCTCTTCACTGATGGGTTTGTTTATGCAGCCTTGGAGTAAGTAGCCCTCCAAACCAGAGGTAAGCCAGTAACATTTCTACCCCCACCACCTCATGCCATGGCTTCAGCTGAACAGGATCCCTGCAGAGCTCTTTTTTCCAGGGATTCAGACACTGTGCAGTGTCTGGGCTGGATCTATTTGTTTAACTTCCTCTTCTAAGCACCAAGGGAGAATTTGCATAGTTTCTTTTGAAAGGTATAAACAAATAGCTCTTGTCCATGTGTTTATAAATTGATGAAAAACCAGTCTATGAACACGCACCTGGAGCTGGTTTTGGTTCAGCTTCTTAGTTCAAAGATGCTGCCCATATGCAAAACTTAGTGTGCTTGAGCAGCTGCTGCCTTGGTGAGCCTGGGAAACAGGAAAAGTCAGTCCATTTGCAATCCAGTCAAACCTTGAGGTCAGAGAGGACCTAAAAGTAGGTTTGTGTTTCTGGCCACAGAGTTTTGATATTTATGTATATTTGAGATAATTTTATAAACTTCAATGGTATTTTTCAGAAATGGCTATTTGCAACTGTTAACTGACTGTACTTTTATGTCCTAAGTCTTGCATCTAAACCAGAAGCCTTTGTTTTCTATGCTCTATAGCTAGTGAAAAAGATGAGTTGTGGTGTTTTCTTCAGTGTCGCAATTGTTTCACTCTAGGTGGATCCATAGGAATTAAATTCATTTTTATAATTAACAAAGCTCTGAAAAAACCAAAACCCAGGAAGAGGGTGTATGTCAGCCCTGGTGGGAGGTTTCTGCAGGCAGACAGGTTAGCTTTGGTGTTTTCAGTTCTACAGTGACAGGACTCCTAACAAAAACTCTATTGATTTTTGTGACCTTGTACTTCAAGTGATATTGCCGTAAATCTCTCTTGCAGCTGTTGGTGTAACTTAGTCAAAGCCAAGCTGTTTTATAAATAATTTTATTTTTCTTCAGGGTCAGTTTTGTACTTTTAAAAACTATTTCTGCATTTCCTGAGTCATTATCCCAATGCTGCAGAGGACACAGCAGGCAAAGCAGTGAGCACACCCCACTCTCCCAGACCATCCTGTGCCAGGGGCTGGGCTGGAGCACCAGGGGCTGCAGGAACCTCAGGTGCAGGGTCCTTACCCCACACTCTATTCCCAGCATTATCCAGGCACAGAATGGGTTGGAAAGGGCAAGGATGGATGTGGATGGGCTCAACTGCCACATATGCTGTTAGTTCTGACTAATTTGTAAGAGTGTTAAAAATTTTGTAAACTTTATAATGTGCTAAACTTTGGTTATGAGGTAACATTTACAAATAAGGGGTAATTTGTGTACTTGTTTTTGTATTTTGCTCTGGTGGGCTTTTTTGTTGTTGTGCCCCAAGTCCAGATCATTGGGCAAATAATTGTTAAACCTTGGAATTAAATAAATGCATTTTACTGGATAGTTTTGTTATCATTTTATTGTGCCAGGTCTGAGTCTGTCTTGCTTAGGACTTTTTATAACTAAATAAGAATCACATAATATTGGCTCTTTATAAATCAGGTAAGAAGATGGAGGCTCCTGTCTGAAACAGTCTGTACAGCCTGATGTTGTCTACCTTGACACAGCAGTTCCTGGGAGAACAACAGGTACTGGGATTTCTGGAATTCTATGCAGTTCAGTCTGACTTTTGCCTGTCAGTCACCAGCAGTTTAGCAGGGTATAAATCCTTTAATCTCTGTTTAAATAGGACCTGTCCTTGTCTTTCAGGTGCAGAGCTCAGGGAACAGTTATAGTACAATGATGCTTTCTCCACGCTTCCTCACTGTTCCTACCCCAGCTTGGGCAATGTCCTGTAATTCCTACTTCATGGCACTTCAGCAGAAGATAGGAGAACATGCACAGAAGTTCTCAGCTCACACCTTTGTTCAGAAAGCTGCTGTAGCAGCTGCAGGACTGCACTCAGCCCCACACCACAGCATGGCAAAGTAGTTCTAATGTACTTTGCAAATGCTCCTGGCTGTAATAAACATGATTGCAGCATAGCTGATGTATTCTTGTGACCCAGCACATTTCAGACAAGGAGGTTATTGCCTTGTGTTCAGTTCTTGGCAAATACTGTTCTTGGAAGAAGAACATACTGGATGTGCACACCCTGTGTATATATATCCATTGCAGAGGATTCAATTTTTCATGTGGCTGGGGAAAAGAATCAATTCTTCAGCTTAATTTCTCTGGAAGAGTATAAAGACTGATGAAACAGCTTAAGTAGAAATCCAGTGTGAAGTGCTGTATGGCAGCCTGAGCTGAACTAAGCAAGCAATTTCCATTGCAGGCACTGCTGATTACTGTCAGCAGCCCTCCATAACTAATTGGAAATCAGCCTTTTATTGTTTAATACCAACAAATATGTAAGAATAAGCAAGTTTCTACATCTGAAACACCCTTAATGCTACTAGCTTGGTTTGATTTTTACAGCATGGGAACTGAGAGCTGGCTAAAGCAGTGAGAAGTGGAAACTCATTGTAGGAAATGGTAACTAGCTCTGCCTTTCAATGGCCTTAGGGTTTTAGAGTAGGTTTAGTGTACATTTTACACTAAATTTTACCAAATGTGTGAGCCAAGCTTCTATCACTTCAGCATCCAAAGGTTACATGGCTTCTATTGCTCTGCTTTCAAAGGCACTGCATCTACAGCCAGCAGAGCTATTAATACAGCATGAGGCAAACAAAGCCCTTCTAAACTCAGAGCTGAGTTCCAGGGAGATGGAATGCTTTGTCTCAGGAATTATCCTACAGAGGAAATATGCTCCCTTTAACTCAGACTCAGTAGAAAATGTCTCAGTGCACCAAGAATTTGGCTGAGGGACCAGAGTTCTCCAACTCGATTTTGGCATCAGCTGTGCTGCTGCTTTGACAGAGATTCTTCAATACACATTGGCACAATGCTCTGCTGAACAATCTGCCTCTTAAGGGATACTGGTGCTGTGTTGCTGACACCAGTATAATTGGTTCTGCAAAGAAGTTTTGCTTCAAAAGATTGAAACCATTTCTGCCTCTCACAGGAGGGAGCTCAGGCCTGGACAGAATTCCATGTGTAAAGTTAGACAAGAAGTACAAAACTGAACTGGCAATTGATGCAAATGCTGATGAATATACTGAGATAAGTAACAATGTGGCTGATATAAATGGTGATTTCACTGGGAGTGTTTAGTGAAAGTTGCAAGTACCTGTCCCCAGTTTGTTCCTACAGCAGACAGAAGGGAAAGAGGAAAATATTTCTAACACACCCATAGCCTTTAACATTAACACCAGGTACAAATGCTTAAATGAAACATTGACTGAGCCCACACAGTTAAGCAGAGAAACATAAAAAGAAATGGTGATTCTTTTTCCTTATTTTATTGGGTAAATGATTTAAAAGGTAATAACAATAGTGTTAAAACTACTACAATATCTTTCCACAGCCATATCTCACAGACCCACAGATAACCTTCTAGCATTTTTTTTCTTTTTCCTCATTTTTCTCTTTTTAAGCCATACTTATATTAAAATGCCCATTTCAACAGTTTCTTCACACTAATAGCAATTAAATGTGGAAGGAAGAAGGATCTAGTTATAAAGGAAGGGGGTTCAGGTAATCTGTGATATTACTGTAATCAATTGAGTTGCTAAGGAAGGAAGAAAAGACCGAGGCCTTACAAGCTACTCCAGGTAGCTCTAAGCCCACTGTGTGTCACCATGGCATTGAAGATAACTCAAGATGCTGGTGAACAATTTAAAGTAAGTTTGTTTTTTTTTTTTTTTCTGTGTAACATATAAAACACTAAAATAACTTAGAAACTAGATCCAAATATCTTGAAAAGAATCAACTTTGATATACAAAAACAGTCATAAGTTGTTACAAAAGTTTCAAACAAAAGTTTGTTTTCTCAGTGCGTTTATGTACCAGCGCAATTACTGAGTCCAGAGCAAAGAAAGAGGTTCTTCTTTTTTATTTTTTTTTCTTTAACAGTAATAAAAAATGAGGAAAACATATCTTTGTATATAAAGAATCATTGCTGGTCTTAAGAATAAATGTAACCAGAAACCCTTAAATCTGAGAGGCACACTTTGGGTTTCTCTTTTTTTTTTTTTTTAACTTTTTTATTTTTTTAACATAAAATGAAAGTCACCAGTTTATTTAAATGGAGGAGATACTCAGACTCCCCAAATAAACTTAATTCAATTAACATCACTAGCAAAAATCAGTTAGAAACTGTACAAAAATAAAAAAGTTAACACATTTAATCCTGCAGGGATTTTGTAAGGACTGGAAGGCAGGCTTTAGGAGCAGCATTTGGGCATGGCTGGAGGCTTCTTTGGTTCGATCTAACACACATAAGAGATGTAACCTACTCCAGACAACAGTTTTAAAAACCCGCACAGTTGAAGACAAGTAGAGGTCCATATACAAACTCCAGGTGTGCCAGGGCTGTGCCCACCTTGGTTCCAGAGCGGGGCTGAGGTCAGGACCGGAGCGTCCACCCCTGCCGGAGCAGCATCCGCTGGGATGGCAGCAGGAAGGACACTTGAAGCATCACCAAGTAACAGCTTCGTGTCAAGTCTATGGTTTGGTTGTCTAACTCAGTTTACAGAGCAGAGTTTTTAGGATCATTAGGTAAGAGAATGAAAAAAAAAAAANAAAAAAAAACAAAAACCCCAACAATCTCTTCATTGGAATAAGGCAAACTGAGTAGTGCTCATTTAAAAAAAAAAAAAAATCAGCATTTCAACTTAACAAACAGTGAAATAAGCTACTTGGTTGTACCTTAATTTCTATAAAGTACCCCAAATGAAAAACAAATCTGTAGCTAACCCCAACCATACAGCTAAAAGCTACTAAATGCAACTACAAGGGAATGACATTTGTGAGAGCAATTGCTGATTAGCTTTAAGCAAACAGACCTATTCTGTGCCAGTGCATGTCACAGTGAGCTGCACGTTTGGTACAAAGAATCCCACAATTACAGAAAAACAATCTGCAGCAGTTCAGCACAGTGTGCTGAGGAGGTAGGTGCCCTAGAAACACTGTAGGTAGACTGATTATTCCAATCTTTAAAAAAAAAAAAAAAAAAAATCATACAATCTGATTGACCACAGACTCTGTAACAGTTTTTAAATTAGTGATACAAAACTCTGGTCCAGAAGGGTCTGGCATGAGCTCGGTTCAAAAGCACACCTTTACAGTTTGTATAACACCCTTGAACTATATTTTTAAGCAACAGCTACTAAGAGATAGACAAAAATGCATTGTGCATTATGCTGTATACAAAAAGGAGACAAAACTATCCTTTTCTCCCCCAAGCCATGGTGGGAAGTATTGCTGACCTTGTCCTTAAAATCCTGCAGGATTGTTTATTCATCAGTATATCATTATTACACTGGTAAGAAATTCTGTATAACATCTGCATATATCGAAGATTTCTTAAAAAATCTGATATGATTTTAGATCCGCATGACCAGTCACGTGACCTTCTTGAGGTTGATTAGCACCTTTCAATACATATATATTTTTATATATAATAGATCTTTTTAAAAAACTTCTAACAATGAGCTCATGCAGAAGCACGAGCGAGCTGTAACGAGATGACAGATAAAGATGGGGTTGGATGACTTTTTTTCGCAGCAGAATGATTCAGTTTGTGCTCAGGTTCCCTATAAGGGCAAGAAAAAAAACCAACACAACTCTATCAGGTAGCCACTTGTTCACATTTCCACTTGAAGACTAATTAATCTAAAAGTGTTCCCCAAGTAGAAACAAGACAACAGTATCATCCAAAATAGCCTCTGTATAAACATCTACTCATTTTTGCAGCTTCTGGCTGGTATCTCTTGGCTCCTGAAATTTCAGGCCCTCTGCTTAAAAATTAAGGCATCGCAACTGAAAACGGTAATATTTGGACAAAAATGCTGTGGATGAAGGAATACCAAAGACCTTCTACAAGAACCTCCATAGAAATTAAGTGGCAGACCTAACCTCACATAAGGGATGAGCATAATTGATCCTTATCTGACTTTGAAACCCTATTGAAACACTTTTACAGTTAATCCAATTTTTTTAAACGGAATTTTATCTATTTGATTTTTATATATCTTTATATTTACAAACATTCATTACTCAAAGTAACTGGAATTTCTGCTTACTGTGGTTTATTCACTCAGGTTAGGAAGGTCTTTTCTGTAAGAGGCAGCCTGTGCTGCAACAGGCAGCAGTGGGAGTTCTGCAGGCACAGGAGGAAGCTGTCAGCTCCTGCCATCGACTGACCTTGCAAACAGACCACACATATCTTTTACTAAATCCTATTTTTACAGCAGGAAAAAGTTCCAATCGGTTTTCTTTCTCCTACCGTGTGGAGGGGTATCAGAATTATTAAACAGTACTTACAGCTCTCAAGCACTATTCCTGCAACAGATGAAAACA